AAGTATGATAGGAATCAAAGGACATATTAAGCGTTTTTCTAGGACTTCACATTCATAGTAATAATGCCATGTAAATTTTAATCATTTACGTAGCATAAGGCACTTGACTGCTAACCAGAAGGCTGGCAGCTCAAACCCACCAGCCACTCCTTGGAAGGAAGGTTGCGCAATGTACTTCTGTAGTGATACCGCCTTGGAAACCCAAGGAGGAGTCGCTATGAGCCGGATCCGACTCCACAGCAGTGAGTTTGGTTTGGGTTTGTCATTAAATAGTCTAATACAGTTGTGCAAATCACGAAAGAATAAATTAGAGCTCTTCCTAAACACAGTAACCAAGGATATGAGACTCTATACATCTATTTATCTCAGCCAGGAGAATGTAACCACATTAAGGGTTCTGGCATGACTTGTGAAATATAATACAGGAGTCTTTAAGCACTTTCTCAAGATTTAAGTAAGTTTTAGAGTAATTTTTACATCAGTTAAAATGGGCATTCCTATGACAAGTTTATATCTGTTCAATTGAAAAAATTCTCAGTAGAAATACACTAAATGATCTAGAAATTTTCTTTCCCTGGAAACTGTAAACCCAAGAACTGAAATACACACATCTCCTATGTTGGGCTTCTCTAGCAAAAGACAACACTTTAGATTCTAATTCAAAACTGCGGAGAGCGTTGAAAACTGTAGGAAATTAATACCAGCTCTAGACATAGGTGGGGGGACAAGGGGTTAGACTGGGGATTCATGCTTCTCACAAACCTGAAAGCTGCAAGGCAAACGCATTACTTCCTATTGAAAAAAACCATAAGTTTGGAAACCCTACACATGACCCAGCTAGACTTACTGTCCCTAGGTTCATACCTTTAGTGAAGGCAAGAGAGTACCAGGCCCCAACCAGGACACATAAACGCTCAGGACCTCACCCCATGAACTCTCTCCCCACTTGTAACTCCATAATGCAGTGTGAGAGGTGGAGCTACAATTCTAAAAAAGGCTCCCATGACTGGAGGATGCCAAGAACACTGTCTGCAGTCAAAGAACAAGGATGGCTCTGGAGGGTCTGGGGCTCACTCAGCTCCTCGGCCAGAACTGTTCCATCTTCAGGCTCTGCTCAGGAGAGTTTGTCATTCAACACAGAGCACCAAGGTAGGGATGTTAACATCCCACAGTGCTAGCTTTATGTGACTATTCAGATCACATGAACAGGCGACCACAGACATCCAAATCTTGTAAAACCACATTTCTGTAGAGGGAAGGGCCTAGTGACTGTGGAGCAAGGCCTTGGGATTCCTCCCAGGGCTCAAGTTCCTGGTCTCTTCTGCCACAGTTTACCTCACTGAGGAACCCAGGGCCTGTAGCACATGGCTGCTGCCACAACAACTCATATTAAGCCTCATCCCCTCCTGGGAAGAATAACCTAATTCTTTGTAGTACTCACCATTTCCTTGTTCCAGCTTCTGGAAGTCTCAGTGAACGCGCTTTCTAAGCCCAAGAAGCCATTACAGGAAGAGGAACTGAATGGAAGCAGAGCCACTAGGCAGTTTGGTGGCAGATGAATAATGTTTGGTCCATGTGCATCTAGACAGCTGAGAAATCCTTACTTGAAATTTACGGATGTGCAAGATGGGTTGCCCTAGATCGTCAGCTGCATAGATTGGACTAATTCTCCCTGTGCCACACTTCAGATCTGAAATGGAAGAATGGGGAGGAGACAGTGTTGAGAAACGAGGGAGTGACAGGTACTTGGCCTCAGCTCTTTCCCTGGACAGAGTTTCTTCCCAGATTCAAGGCAGTGTTCCACCCTGAGGACATTTGCATTGAAGGCACATCAGCCTCCATCCTTCCACAGCGCACACCTGGATTCTTCACACAGCCACACAGGCCTTTTCCTTCTGCAACAAGATCACAGATGGAGGAATCTACTCATCCCAGAGCATGAGAAGCACCAAAGCCTGGACAGGCTAGAAAACTTCTACTTGATTTGTTCCAAGGATTCAGGGGTGCAAAGATGAGGTTGAGGGTTCACCTACCATGTAGAACACACTTAATTTGATATCAGCATGGGTGAATTTCCAGTAAAAATATATTTTTAGGTTTGTCAAGCAGTCCACTAGCTTTATAGAAATCTGAGAAGATGCCTGCACACTTTCTCTTTCAACTTTGTAATAATTGGTCAACCAGTACATCAGAAAATCATCAAGTTTTCTCTAAGGACAGTCTCCTGCCTCTGTTCCTGTTTGTTTCCATCCCATGTCTGCACCCAAGTGACTCCTATTCTTTTATTTCTTGGTCTCAGTGTAAAAGTTCTCTCTCCATCTCTCACATAGTCTTTATACCAGTGTCTCCCCTTCAGTACGAACTTCCTTTCATTAATTTCTCTAGCAGCACTCTAATTTTAGGTCACATCCTATTTCTACAGCTATTATACTCAGCTTCTTCTTTATGTAGACTCTGAAGTCCATCCCAGACATTCTGAATCAAAATCTGCATTATAACAAGGTCTCTTGGTTATCTACAACAACATCCGAGGTTGAGTAACACTCACTGTTCTCAGTGACCAGTGTCAAATACAGTGTCTACTCATAAGTTTGCGGGATCTCTGGTAGCCTAGTGCCTAAGGCACTTGACTGCTAACCAGAAGGCTGGCAGTTCAAACCCACCAGCCACTCCTCAGAAGGAAGATGGGGCAATCAACTTCTGTGGTGATACTGCCTTGGAAACCCAGAGGGGTCGCTATGAGTCGGGTCCGACTTGATGACACATAACAACAACAACAACAACAACACTGTTCTATAGCCTGTAACACAAGAAATGGAGACTATCAAGAGATACCCTTTCAAACATCCACATCTACATTATATGATGCACCACCAATCTCCATGTCTAAGCCTCCTCACACTCTTCCTTAACTTGTTCATAACAAAGTCTGCCTGATGTCATTCAATCATGGCCATCATTTCCAAAATCTATTTGCAGTACAAATAATACTCACATCCATCCCTTCTTAATGGCCATCAGTGGCTGTCCAGTGGCCTTCGAAACCCTAGAGTAGTCAGCATGGTTCTAAAGGAGCTGCTGCCGTGGCCACCTTCAATCCAGCTCACACAACCCACACCTCGCAAACCGGTGTTTGATCTGCATCCATCACCTCTGATTGTCATCAGGGAATGTGTGACACTGAGTTCTCTGCTCCCTCAGCGATCTACATACTCATTTTTCCTCAACTGAAATACTCCTTCCACTCCCACCAATCCCACATGTGATGAGCCCTGCTCAACCATGTATGTTTGCTAAATCTAACTAATATTTTTAATCTTCACTTAAATAAAAATAATTTTCCCTTTTAAGCAATCTATCTTGACTCTAGGGTCCAAAAACACCAAACCAAACTCACTGCTCTCAAGTTGGTTTCGACTCATGGCAACCCCTCCTTGGTTTTCCGAGGTGGTATCTCTATGCAAGTAGATTACCTCATCTTCCTTCCGAGGAGTGCCACTGGTGGGTTTGAACTGACAGCCTACTGGTTAGCAGTTAGCAGTCAAGTGCCTCAGGCACTACACTACCAGTCCTTTTATTATAGGTATTACATGTCCCTGGCTTTTCATTATTTATTTAAAGCTGTCTCCCAAGCTAGATTGCAAACTTATGAATTATTGTTGTTGTTGTTATGTGCTGTTGAGTCGGACTCGATTCATAGCGACCCCTCCTTGGGTTTCTGATACGGCATCACTAGGGAAGTAGATTGCCCAACCTTCTCCAGAGGAGCGGCTGGTGGGTTTGAACCACCAGCCTTCCGGTTAGCAGTCAAGTGCCTTAGGCACTATGCTACCAGAGCTCCCGCAAACTTATGAGTAGACACTGTATTTGACACTGGTCACTGAGATCACATGCAAATTATCACCTGTTAAATACACTGTCTTGAGAAGGATTACCCAATGATATTTTCTGGTAGACAACGTTCTGTTTCTGCACAGTCCAGTATGGTTGCCAGTAGCCCATGTGACTATTTAGCACGTAAAACACAAGCGCAACTACCAAATACCAAATTCACTGTCATCAAGTCCATTCTGACTCATAGCAACCTCCATTGGGTTTCCAAGGCTGTAAATCTATATGGAAGCAGACCTCCTCATCTTTCTTCCTCGGAGTGGCTAGGAGGTTCGAACCACCAATCTTTTCCTTCGCAGCCAAATGCCTTAACCACTAAGCCACCAAAGCTAGTGCAACTGAGGAACTGAATTATTTTAGTTTTAATTACTTTTAATTGAAAAAGCAACATCTGGCCAGTGGATACCACAGCTGTAGTCCACTCACACTAAACGACCAACACATCCGAGAGGGGATGGAAGTGCCATCGCCACAATGTAGAGAAGATGGAGAATACAGAATACCAACCATTGGCTGAGCTTAATTTGACTGACTGAACCTTGCCGTCCCCCTTTACTGGCATCAACAGCTGGCTCTGAGCCTGGCTGCTAATAATTTGGTCCTCCACCCAACTGGGGGCGAGGAAGCTTTGTGAGACTGAAATAAGGGGGTATCGATTGATGATTCCTTGTCTAGCAAGATAAGACGAACTTACAGTGCTGAGGAGCAGTTTCTGGCAGGCTTTCACAGCTAGTATTTGGTGTCAGAGATAAGAAAAATCTTAAAATCAAAGTAACGTGTCTGTTAGTAATTTTTCTATTTATCACAGCAGACCAACTAGGGATGGCCGTATTGTTTCTCACACACAATCATAATAAAAATGTCTGTTTCACAGCCAAAGAAATTCCAAAAAATGTGCCTCTAAACATTTTCCTCCTGAATTTGGGAAAATATGGTTCTGAATGCATCTAGTAATTCCAACTCATGTTTCTAAATTATTTGTCTATCTTAACGACCTATACCTTTAAAGAAAAAACAAAACACACCACCAAACCCGCTGCCATGGAGTCGATTCCGACTCATAGCGACCCTATAGGGCAGAGCAGAACTGCCCCATAGGGTTTCCAAGGCTGTTGATCTTTACAGAATCAGACTGCTTCACCTTTCTCCCGCAAAGCGGGTTGCAGGTACTAACCGGCGACTTTTGGTTAGCGGCTGAATACCTTCAATCGCTGCGCCACCAGAGATCCTCAACCATTAAAGGGCACGGGTATTTTACTTTCTGTCTGACCAGCAACAGTCAACAAAGTCCTGCCTGACAAAGCACAGAAAACAAAGGGGAGCTGGAGCTCAGTGAGCCGCCGACTGGGGGCGGCGGGAGAAGGACATGTAGACTCGAACCAACTACTGTGGGATTGATTCCAAGAGCTTCTTGACTCCGTTTCTCACAAGCTCCCAGGTGAAGTTCACGCTGCTGACCTGAGAATCACACTTTTGCTCAGCGAGGATCTCACGATTTTACCTGTTAATGCACCGAGAGGTACAGGGTCAGCCCACCTACCCGGCCGCACAGAAAGCAGCTGCGCCCGGGTGGGCCAGGATATCGAAGGACGCAGCGCCGGCAGGAGGGCCACGACTGGAAAGTGGTGGCAGTGGCAGCGGAGGCTGCGGCTGCGGCGGGAGAGCGGCTATTGTAAAGGGGCGGTGGCGCCGGGAGAGAGCGGCGACTGGAAAGCAGCGGCTGCAGAAGCCACCAGCCCAGCGGGGCTACTGGAAGTCCCGGCGGAGAGGCCAGAAGCGCGCAGAAGAGCCGGAGCAGAGTCCTAAGCCACGTGGGCTGTACCTGGTACTAGACCAAGCAGGACGCCCAGAGATGCAGGACGCCCAGAGATGCAAAACACTGCTCACACCCGAGCTGAAGTGCAACCAAACATGGCTGCGGGCCCTTAGACCAGCACTTCCGGTTTCTGGGACTGTGGGTGCCACAGGGGAGGGATTCCGCGCGCGGTCTGCGAGCGCACCACCTTGTCACTCTGCGCTTCAGTGCTTTCCCCTTGGACTTGCTATCTCTCTGCTGCTATCTTTATTCCCACGACCGAGAAAAGCCTATGTTTTATTAAACATATATATATATAAACTTAAACGCAGATTTCAGTAGTCAAGGATTTCTAATATCCTTGGGGAGCAGAGGAAGTTGATATTTGCATATTTGGCCATTTGAAAAAATTTTTGCCATGTTCTTTAAACAAGTAATTTGTTAGCTCCTCATATATATTTGATCCTTAGAACTTGAGAAGTCTCTAGTCTGGCTTCTGTTTCATGGTATGTAGGCTCCTGCATTATCAGGTATCTCTCCCTAGGAGCAGGTCATGGACTATGCAAACGAAGTGTGATCTCTCCAAGAGCTAAGGACCCTGGAGAGAGGCGTTTTTGAGAATTCAAAGAAAGAAGATACCAGTCACTCTGAGGGACAGAAGATAAAAGGTGAACTACCTTTGAAAAAGGCAAGTAACAACAGTTTTTATTTTTTTCTTGGGTACACACACACACATAATAAAACGCACAAGGTGTACTAACCTTAACGCTGCAACACCATGAACTTTCAGATCTGGATATACACTCATATCACCTCCCCTGGCATCAAGTGATGGAAATTTGCAGTACACCAGCAGATTCCCATGTGACCTTTTCCCAGTTTACATACACCCCAGAAGTTACAAGTATTCTAACTGTTATTGCCAGAGATAAGATCTGCCCATTCTTTGACTTGATAAAGCACTCTGGTAGTATAGTGCCTAAGGCATTTGACTGCTAACCAGAAGGTTGGTGGTTCAAACTCACCACCCCACTCCTTGGAAGGAAGGTTGGGCAATCTACTTCTGTAGAGACACTGACTTGGAAACCCAAGAAGGGGTCACTATGAGTTGGAAATGACTCAATGGCAATGAGTTTGGGTTTCTTTGCTTTTTTTTAATGGTCTATCTTGCTGAATATTTAATAAGTCATAAGAAAGAATGCATCTTCTGCTGTTGTTGGGTAATGTATTTAATAAATGTCAATTGGGTCAAGATGGTTGATGGTGTTGTTCTGATCTTGTTGACTACCTTATCTTGATGTTTGTCTATTTCACCTTTCCTATCCATTTCTCCCTTGTGTGTATTAAAGTTCTATTGTTAGGTGTATACATATTTCAGATGATTATGTCTTCTTGTTGAATTTCCCTTTTACCATTAAGCAATGGCCTTCCTTATCTCTTCTAATTTTCATTCTCGCCTCCCCACCACATGCTAATTATAATGGCCTTCCAACTAAGACCAAACTCACTGCCTGGAGTTGATTCCAACTCATAGTGACCCCTCCTTGGGTTTCCGCACAGTATCTCTACAGAAGTAGATTGCCCAGTGCTCCTTCTGAGGAGTGCGGGGTGGATTTGAACTGCCAGCCTTCTAGTTAGCAGTCAAATGGCTTGGCACTACGTCACCAGAGCTCCTTTCATTATCCATTAGGGAGATGTATGTAAATCAAAACCACAAGGAGATACCACCTCACCCTACCAGAGTGATCAAAGATCCAGAAAATAACAGTGCCTAAGGCACTTGACTGCTAACCAGAAGGCTGGAGGT